GGCAGGCGGGTTCTTGACCACTAGTGCCACCTGGGAAGCCCCTGATATTCATTACTTTGTATCCTATTTGCCTGGCACATAGTGGGGTTCAGTAAACGGAAGGAATGAAATATCTGAATAGCCCTCTATTTTCTTACCTATAAAATGAGAAAATGGTAACAGCAATTTTTAGAGGATCAAAGAGTTGGATAAAAGCGGTCAGAGTTTTTTGTGACTTTTTTTTAAACTTAAATGGAAAGAGATTTACAAATGAACAAAGTTAATGTAAAAGATGGGGAGAAATATGTAAGGGATTCCTTTCCAATTACTGTCTAACTATGGAATCTTGGTTTAACCTCACCAAGGCTTACTTGTAAAGGGGATAATCGCTTCCCTCGAAAGGCCCTCATAGCTTGCCTGGTGCCGTGACTGGTGCTCTACGGAGCTACAGGTAGGTGCAGAAACTGGTAGGCAGACTGCCTGGGTTTGAATCTCAGCCCTGCCCTTGCCAGTTGTGTGATTCTTACTATGCATGTGGCATTGGACAATTTAACTTATCTCTTTCTGACTCAGTTTTCCTAATCTGCAGAATGGGAACAGTAAGTATACTTAGCGATGGTCAGGATTACAGATAAAATAATACATGTTAGATATTTAAGAAGCTAGCTTCTCTTTATTATTTCCTATTTCCTTCACAACAGGAGAGAACTGATCAGGCTTGCCCTCATTTGTTCTTCCCAGACTGTAGCTGCCTGGCCAGTGATTACACCCCACTTCCTCCGCTGTCCCCCAAACTGAGTGCTCACAGCTCATTTTTAAGCAGTCCCCTCTCACTGCTTATATGTGGAATCTAGAAAAATGATACAGATGAATTTATTTGCAAAACAGAAATAGAGACACAGGATGGTACTGGGGGGGAGAACTGGGAGATTGGTTTTGACATATATACATGACTATATACAAAATAGATAGTTAATGAGAACCTACTGTATAGGAACTCTCTTCAATGCTCTGTGATGACCTAGACAGTAAGGAAATCCAAAAGAGGGTACACATGCATACGTATAGCTGATCCACTTTGCTGTGCTGCAGAAACTAACATAATATCGTCAAGCAACTATACTGCAATATGAATTAATCTTTAAAATTAAGTGAAGCAAAAGAAAAAAAGTCACATAGTCTATGATACCTTTTAAATGAAATGTCCAGAATTGGCACATCTATAGAGACAGAAAGCATATTAGTGGTTACCTTAAGTTGGGGAGACTGGGTGGGTCATAGCTAAAGAATACAGGGTTTCTTTCATCTGCCAATGATGAAAATGTTCTAAAAGTTATTACAATGATAGTTGTACAACTCTATGAATATACTAAAAGCCTCTGAATTATATACTTTAAGTGGGCGAATGGTGTGGTATATGAATTACATCTCAATAAAGCTGCTATCAAAAAAGAGTACCCTCCCCAACCCAGATCAACAACTATTAGAGGGTAGATCCTCTGCCCTCCTCCAGAACTATTTATTAAAAAAAAAAAAAAAAATCTGACAGGGCTTATTCTTTTTGTGGCCATGAATATACAAGTACATTAACATTCCTGGCTGATTTATATTGGGATTATTTTTTCTCTGGATTACTGCCAGTTTTTGCCCATTCAATTTATGGTCAGTTAAAACCCAGAGGAAGTCCGGATGTCTAGAATTTGGAAGGACACAGAAAGGCAGACTAAAATCAGGACTCACACACCACCCGGTGCATAGGAATGTGTGGTGAAAGGGAGGACTGAACCAAATTGACACTCCAGGGCGTGTTAGATGGCTTGTTGGTGACATGCTGGTGTCATTAGTCACTTCAGTGACAGTTTTAAAAGTAAAAATTTAAACGGGCCACTTGCTTGTTTCTTATTCTAATGTTATTTTGCATCCTTTGTCTGTGATAATGCACTTTCCCCCAGATCATTTGGTTATATGGAATTCCTTAAGTAGGCCAGCAAAGAATTGATAAGCCCACGGAGGTTTTTAAGGACCTTTCGACATGCTTCCTTCCACATCAGACAGTGGCATCTGCAATGATGCCAGCGAATAAAGGAGAAGCAGGAAAGACACTCCAGTGTTAATAATGGAATCTTAAGTTTTCAAAGTATGTACTTTGGATTGAAAAGAAAAATCTATAATAGAGCAAGTTAAGGCCAACTAAACACTCATAAATGCTGTGTGTGTGTTTAAACTCACTTAGATTTGTATTTCCTTTTGGGTATAGTCCTAAGATGAACAAACTTTTAAATGATCAAGATATTTACATGTATGTATCATGTATATATGAAGTATAAGGATATATTATCCATATGTATGAAAGTGAAAGTGAAATTGTTAGTCGCTCAGTTGTATCTGACTCTTTGTGACCCCATGGACTATAGCCCACCAGGCTTCTCTGTCCATGGAATTCTCCAGGCAAGAGTACTGAGGTGGGTTGCTGTGCCCTTCTCCAGGGGATCTTCCCATCCAGGGATCAAACCCACATCGCTTAAGTATCCTTCATTGACTGGGGAGTTCTTTACCACTAGCACCACCTGGAAAGCCCCAAGAATACTAGAGTGGGTTGCCATTCCCTTCTCCAGGGAATCTTCCCGACCCCAGGAGTCAAACCCGGGTCTCCTGCATTGCAGGTGAATTCTTTACTGTTTGAGCCACCTGCAAAGCCCACATATATGTAAAGTAAAGAATCTGTCTGCAATATAGGAGCTGCAGAAGATGTGGGTTAGATCCCTGGGTCGAGAAGATCCCCTGGAGGAGGGCATGGCAACCCACTCCATTGTTCTTGCCTGGAGAATCCCGTGGACAGAGGAGCCTGGTGGGGCTACAGTCCGTTGAATGACAAAGACGACTGAAGTGACTTAGCACACATGTATGCATGTGTGTGTATACACACACACCTCTCCAAAGACAGAAGTAAGATTTAAGAGTGTTTGTCACATGAATATACCAAAGAGAGATTATCAACCAGAAAATCAGTTGTTTGCATACACAATAATCTGGATGAATAGAATCCTTGTGCTCAGCAGCTGAAGACTGAAAAATTGTAGTATTAGTGTTTTTTTATTTATAGCCTTGTCAAAATCATGTGAAAATATTCCTCTCTCCCATTCTAGAGAGTTAGCTTATACAGAGTGGGGTGTGTGTGTGTGTGTGTGTGTGTAGGAGGTTGCACATAAAGGTTTGCTCAAAGCTTTTCTGGCGCCGTCTAATGAACTGAGTCCCACATAAGTGGTGGAACTTACGTGGTGGCTTCCCTCCCAGAAAGCCATGACTTTATAAACAGGTTTCAAGCAGCAAGGCTGGTAATGAAGATGTATGTGACAACAGACTTCAAGGAGAGGAAAAATCCACTCATAATAGAAGGGTCATCAAGCCTTAATTGTAAGAATGTCTCTGACTCTGAGAACATTTCTTTCCAACAAAAACCCCACTTACACTCATGGCTTAATATCCTCATTTAAGAAATGGGAGGCATTAAATTAAATTTTAATTTATATTCCACTTTTATGTTTGTTTTTATTGTCCCTCTAATGTAGACTGTGTGTAGAACAATAGAAATCATAGATCTCATTTCCACCCAACAACCTCATCAACCAAAAAGGTGATGACACAATCTTATTTTGAAGCCAAGAGAGTAATAAAATAAACTTCAGTACTTTCAGATACACATTAAAAATAATCCTTTAAACTTCTTTGAAAGTATCATCATTATTTTTAGTTAGAGCACAATCACTGAAGGGAAAAAGTTACACTATTTTAGTAATTTCAGTGGAAAGCAAAACAAGAATTGGGTATCCTCCAGGTTTATAGTAGCCCATACAGTAAAAAGACTTTTGTCAAGTGTTGATTCTCTCCTCATTAAGGAACTGTCTGAGACTGTATTCCTGGGTCAACTCATGCCTGCTTTTCCTAATCATAGCTGTCTCGGTATCCATGACATGGATATAAACAGATCCATGGTTAAAACTAAACAGATGTGGTGATCTGGCAGTGCCCAGCTATCCATTTGTCTATAAAGTGGCAGAAATTGAACCTTTAATTAGTAAGATTTGATTGTCTACATTCTTATTACAACCATTAAAATGTAGTCCCTTTCAAGGGGATAAATGCCAGATATTATTTTTAAAAATCCAGTAGTTAGCGCTCCACCAAGTCCAAATATCTTGCTCCTTAATCTACTTGTTTCGAGAACCAAAATAAAATGCTGCTTCAACCAGATTTTTATTTTCTAAATATCCCTTCAGTGCATAAGAAAAGCATCATTCCAGATGAAAATTCATTAGTCAGTCTTGGACTTTCTGTGACTGGATACTCCTGCTTCTAAGAAGGTTGGAAAAATACCTCCTGGATAACTTGCAGTGTCTTCTAGTGCCCACATATCTACTCTGCATGCTGACCGTGCCTTTAAAAAGCCTTCTGGGCAACATCAAAAACCTTGTTATTTACTTACCTTGAAGCAAGTTCACTTATCATTTGGAAAAGTTCTCAGAACCCTGCTTGTCTCTCTCTACTGTCTCTCACCTTTCTAAAGACTTTAAGCAGAAGCAAGGCCTTGGCCATGAAATAATTTATCACATTTGTGCAGTGGTAAATTATAACTAGAGCTAGGAATTGCCCCCTTACTGCGTACAAATGATGTTTTTACAAGGTATAGTTAAAAGCAGAATCTTTTGAAATCACTATATAATACTGGAAAACATGTAAACATGCATTGTTAGAGCAATTCGGCCATATTGGAGTTCATGTTCTATTGCTTCTTCAGATCTCTTCTATGAACCTTTAACCATAAAGACTTTGTCAGATGCTTTAGATAGCCAAGCACTGCGCTTGACTGAAAAGATGCTGAATTCATAGTCTCTACAGACCAGAATAAATGGATTAAACACAGACCAAATAACAGCATTGGATGCCAGTTCCAGGGACCACATCACACAGCCCGTGAGAAGAACGCGGTTCCTCTCTTGGAGGGCGTGTCTGAGATGAGCCCGTCAGTCACAGCTCTCCGTCTTCTCTGCGATGACACACCAGTTGCCATGGTCGTTCCCAGAGCTCAGAATGTGGAGCTCCGACACACTCTCCTGCAGCAGGCCACAGAGCTCTCCTTCTCGAAACACGTGGTAGTAACGCATAAAGGCTCTGGAATCCAAAACGTCGGGCTGCTGTTCAACAGAAATGGCGTCCCCTGGGTTGGAGTCTGTGGAATCTGCTGCAGAAACCCTCCCCCATAATTTACTACCAGAAGCGGTGTCCTCTTCTACGTTATCTTCATCCACACAGTTCTCCTTAGCATCGGTGCCCCCCAGAAAATTCGCATCTCCGTTTCTCCTCATGACCCCAGGATGGTCTCCGTTTAGCTGTTTGCGTGTGGTGGGCGCCCTCAGGCACTCCAGAGGTCCTTGAGACGGCTCCACGAACACTTCCTCATCTACATTTTGCTCTCCTGTTGACAAAGTCTCTGGATGACCCAAGTCGAAACTGGAGTGTCTTGAAGGCTGGATGGATATCGTGCTATTGGCCCAACTTCCTGTGTTTTTCAGGGGTCTCACTTTTTCAATTTGCTTCCTCAGAGTGGATTCATCCAGAGACCTAGAGGAAAACCAGGAGCGAAACGACTTCCCCAGCATGTTATAGAATCCGTTATCTTCCTCGCCTTCCTCGGAAGTATTTGCGCAGCAGGTGCCAGCCAGGACGGCGTCGCAGTCCACACTATGGGACCGCTTCGAGTCGCGGCGCCCCTCGGAACACTCGGAACAGCGGCAGGCGGAGCAGGGCGGGTGGTAGGGGGGGCCTCTTTCTGGGCGCCCACACTGCTGCCTTCTCCCCGGCTGGCCGGCTTCCGAGAGGGGTTGGGAGCACAAGGCTTTGTTCCATGGAACAAGCACGTCTTGCTTCTCAAAGTGCCGGTTCTTCTGTTCCATGGCCCAAACGTAAATCATCAGCTGGCCTCCAGGAACTAGGATCCTGGCCATTTCTTTTATGGCTCTGATTCTCCTTTGTTTTGTGGAAAAATGATGTATGACTGGAAAAGAAGAAACTGGATCTCAGTGTGTATACACGTTTATAGACTAGTATTTCCTATATAAATACTAGTCTACACATTTATAGACTAGTATTTTCCATGTAACAGTGATGCAGTTTTGACGAATACTGGAGTGGGTTACCATTTCCTCCTCCAGGAGATCTTCCCAACCTAGGGATTGAACCTGCATATCTTTCATCTCCTGCATTGGCAGGAGATTCTCTGCCCACTGTGCCACCTGAGAAGCCCTTGATATGTGGTAAGTACTTATTTCCTGCAGCTTGGACAGGTGGTAGAAATAGCACACACCTGGTTTTCAGGAGAAGCATAATTCTTAACTTTGTTTCCTATATCAGCAGACCCTGGAGATACTATGGGTTTGCTTCCAGACCACTGGAATGAAGAAAGTCACACGAATTCTTGGTTTCCCAGTGCATGGAAAGGTGATGTTTACATTATACTGTAGTCAGTTAAGTGTGCACTAGCATTATGCATTAAAAAAACAATGTATGTATCTTAATTTAAAAATATTGCTAAAAGCTACTAACCATCACCTGAGCCTTCAGAAAGTCGTAATCTTTTTGCAGCAATACACCCAAGATCACAGGTCACCATGCAAAGATAATGATAATGAGAAAGTTGAAAATGTTACCAAAATTACCAAAATCTGACACAGGGACACGAAGTGACCAAATGCTGTTGGCAGAATGGTGCCAATAGACAACAGGCTCAGTGCAAGGTTGCCCCAACCAACCTTCCATTTGTAAAAATGCAGTGTCCGCAAAGTGCCATAAAATGAGATATGCCTCTACTTATTAGACAACTAATCTTGGACAATTATTTAACTTCTCTGGACTTTGTCTCTTCATGTATAAGAAGACACCTAGAAAAAACAATCTGTAAGGCCTCTTCCAGTTTTAAAACCCTGTGAATTTTGTTTACCAGAAGAATGACCAGTGTGAATTAATAAAATTTGAAAGGGAGAGCTAACCCTAAGTTAGGTAAATGTTCCCTAGCAGAATTCTATGAAATAACTTGTTGTTTTATTGAATGATTTGTACTTCTGAAACATCACAAGATCAACACCGCTGGTCAGTGTTAATACAGTTAATCAAGCAAGTATAAGTAGAGAAAATGTTAAAAATTCTGTTTAGAAAATGCAAAGATAAGCCATCCAACCTCCAGACCAGATGACTGCTTATCATTTTTAATAATGTTAATATAATATGAAATTGTATTTATTTAAGAAAAAGCAGCTTAGAGGTCACCGTTTTACTTGCAGTTCTTTGCAGGTTAAAGTGAGTCAAGTGGGACTGCCTGTATCTAGTCTTAGGGGGGTTATTAGATGTATTTTTATCAAACAGTATTTAGAAAGCACTAGTCTGTGAGCTCCTAGAGTTTAATCACACCGTGTCAAGAGAAAGCATCACATTATTTTTCCACACACAAGCTTTCCACACTTAACTCAGGTATGAAATTGGCTCTAAAGAGAGTCTGGACATTGCTGCTCAGATGTGAGTACAGAGCAGGTGAAACAGTGCCTGTAACCTTAACATAATGCAGAGGTACAAATAAATCGCTTTATTTTACACGGCACAGAGAGCTAGTAAAAGTCTAAAGTGAGATTACTATATAGATAAAGCTGTCAAAGGGAGATTATACAAGAGGCACACTTTGTATTGTTTCCAATCAGGTTTGCTTTCCCATCAGCAGAGCACAAACCCTGGCTTCTCTTACTATACCATGCAGGAAGCTAGAGGCAGGAGGTTCAAATGCATTTAAGTTATTTATTTATAGCTGTGCTGGGTCTTCGTTGCTGCATGGGTTTTTCTCTAGTTGCGGCTACTCTCTGGTTGCAGTGCGCAAGCTGCTTATTGCGGTGGTCTTGTTGCAGAGCACAGGCTCCAGGCCTTGCGGGCTTCAGTAGTTGCGACACACGGGCTCAGCAGTCGCAGCTCCCGGCTCTCAAGCACAGATTCCATAGTTGTGATGCACGGGCTTAGTTGCTCCCTGGCATGTCGGATCCTCCCAGATCAGGGATCGAACCTGTGTCTCCTGCATTGACAGGCAGATTCTTTACCACTGAGTCACCAGGGAAACCCTCAAATGCATTTAGAGAACAAGACACCAGTGTATTTTGTCTTGGATCTAGCAGTGACCAGCTTTGTGATCGTTGACTGATCACTTTGCTTTACTAGGTGTCAGGCTAGTGACACTGAAGTATGAGTCCTTTGCAATGGTCAGTTTTAAAGCTTACACTCTTTTTTTTTTTTTAATTGATGTCTTTTAAAATTTTTGTTATTTTTTGGCCACACCATGCAGCAAGCAGGGCCTATGGAATCTTAGTTCCCCAACCAGAGCTCGAACCCAGGCCCCCTGCATTGGGAGTACAGAATCTTAACCACTGGGCCACCAGGAACGCCCCCCTAGAGCTTACACTTCTTGAATAGTGTCTTGGTCAGTGAGCCAAAAGAGGGCAGAGAAGTCAGGACTGAGTCAGACTTAGGACAGGATTAGCATTCAGATCTGTGATTACTCCTGGTCGTTAATATCTTCTATAACTTGCACCTAATTCACCCTGAAACTTCCATGTGGATTCTGTATCCACAGATTCGCCCACTCACTAAAATTTTTTTGTAACTTAAGAACTCTGTACGCTCAGCATTTTTGTGGTCATTCCTTGATGTGCATAGAACAGCCAAAAAGTTGAGCTTCCCAAGGCACATGTTCCTAGCTGGGGTCCAAGGAGATGATCTGCCTTCCTGTCTCAGCTCTGGCAGTGTCAACAAGTGTCCTTTTCATGGTCTATTTAGTGCCACATGTTTTGCATTTTTGTGTTTTTGTTCATGATTTCTCTGTTGAGTAATTGATAAGAGTATTGTGGCCAGAGGCTCACAAGAACCTAATCCTGTATTTCCCCTGGGAGCAATGGTTCGGTATTTGTTAACTCAGTGTTCACAGGACATTATAGAACATAACTACCGTGAATAATGAGAATTGACTGTATTCTTGTGTTTTGACCATGAGAGGGGAAAAAAAAAAAAACCCACCATTAAAATAGGATGATTTTAATACAGTAATTTCTTTTTAGCAGACTTTATAGGCTTTCAACATTTTAGGATTCTTAGCTTCAGAAGTTTTGTTTTTAAGGAAAAATATCTTTATACTTTTCATTCCTTAATATTGCTTATGTGATAATCCATTTTAATACCATAATTTCTCCCAGGAACTATCTGAATCGTTTATATATTTAACATATAATACTAAGTAACTTTTAAGCCAGATGTTTTAGAAAAAGAAAAACTTATAATACATATAAAATGTATTACACATACCTATACACACATATTCTATTAAGAAACATTGTAAATGTAAACCAAGTGGAACTTAAAGATGTGTTTATATGAATTATCACCAATGTCAGGAAACTGTGTTGAATTTTAAAGAATAGAGAAGTTCCTTGTTGTTTAAAAATCATAATTTAAAGGCAGAAGTAGCACTTGGTATGTGTATCCTGTAGGATAGGGTGTTGATTGAACACATGGGTAGGTTGAATTCAGCAACTGGATTCCAGAATCATATGAGGTTACGCATAGTCATCTTAAAAGTCCTGTTATATCTTGGTATTTTATGATGTATTGTTATTTAATTTTTCAGGTGTGTCTCATTTGACTATAAGTATTCAGAATCCATGGGTTTAGTATGAAGCAGAATTTTACAACCTCAGCCCTATTGGCATTTTTAAACAAGCTGGATAACTCTTTATTGCAAGCTAGTGGGGATCAAGTTGATGACTGTTGAACATACACACTCAGTTCTGACAACCAAAACTGCCTCTAAACATTGACAGATATCCCCTGAGGGGGGGGACAATATAATCTCAAGTTGAGAACCACTGGCATGAAAAGTTGGTTGACACCATTTCAATACATGGACAAGTTTTTATAAAAATTTTATCATCCTATTCTAAAAATAAGTAGGAAGACTGTTTCTTTTTGTTATCTGTCAGTAAAACATAAGGAATGTATTAGGTTTGATGCTTACCCTCTCATATGATTATTAAGAGACATGGAAAAAATATATTTATATATTTAAAAATATAGTAAAAATATATTTCTTCATGTTAACCAAGAAATGCCAACATACATCATTGTAAATAAGGAAGTAAATCTGTATGGACATAGGAGAGACAGTTCAGTGACCTTTCTCCTAGTTTTAAATGTAAAAACTAACTGGAAAATGACCACAGTTCATAAAAACACATGCTGGGTTTCCACTGAAGGAAACATTTTTCACTGGAAGATGGCAGCCAACTGTTCTCCATCTCCTCTTCGGGCAGGAGACTTCAGCTGAACAAAAAGCAGGACTCAACAATGTACAACATGGAGCATTTTCTGAAAGAGCAAAGTTGGTCAGCAGTCCCGCGCCCGCAGCGGTGGTCCGCAGCACAGCCTGTTCGTAGGCAGCTGACCGTAGAAATTCTACAACCGAAGTAAACAGAAGAGCAAGCACATCTCTGACCTCTCTGCAGTTTCCCGTTCTTCAGGTGGCATGACCAAACCAAAAACTTTCTTCCTTTCAATGAGTATAACTCTAATACTTCCTTATTCATAAGTGGAAGAAACTGGAATGAGTCATCCAAAAGAGGAAAGCAATAGTTTGAGGGTTAAACTAGATAAAAGAATCATATGTACCACTGTAAGTACACTTGAAATTATTCAGTTGAAATATTTTTTTAAAAATTAGATAAAATGAATTACACGGATCTTTCTACAAAGAATGGATATTGAGTTGCGAGAGTGGCCTCAACCATGTAGCATTATTCTCACGGTGAAGAGGGAAGCTGTGATGGGGTTGCCTTACCGCCTATGGAGATGATGGCATCGAAGCGCTGATCCCTGAAGGGGAGGTTAAGGTTGTCACACACCGTGACTTCACAGCCTCTGCTCCGGGCAATCTCTACCAGCGGTGCACAGTAGTCACAACCCATGGTGTATACCTGGCTGTTCACTTTGAGATACTTCCCAGTCCCACAACCTGTAAGAGAAAAGCCTGTGTTGGACACTGTCCTTAGTGGAAAATGCAGTACTGTTGGTTACTTTGTCTTAGGGAATAGCAATAATTTTTTTTTTCATTTATTTTTATTAGTTGGAGGCTAATTACTTTACAGTATTGTAGTGGGTTTTGTCATACATTGACATGAATCAGCCATGGATTTACATGTATTCCCCATCCTGGTCCCCCCTCCCACCTCCCTCTCCACCCGATTCCTCTGGGTCTTCCCAGTGCACCAGGCCCGAGCACTTGTCTCATGCATCCAACCTGGGCTGGTGATCTGTTTCACTATAGATAATATACATGTTTCGATACTGTTCTCTCGAAACATCCCACCCTCAACTTCTCCCACAGAGTCCAAAAGTCTGTTTTGTACATCTGTGTCTCTTTTTCTGTTTTGCATATAGGGTTATTGTTACCATCTTTCTAAATTCCATATATATGTGTTAGTATACTGTATTGGTCTTTATCTTTCTGGCTTACTTCACTCTGTATAATGGGCTCCAGTTTCATCCATCTCATTAGAACTGATTCAAATGAATTCTTCTTAATGGCTGAGTAATATTCCATGGTATATATGTACCACAGCTTCCTTATCCATTCGTCTGCTGTTGGGCATCTAGGTTGCTTCCATGTCCTGGCTATTATAAACAGTATTGCGATGAACATTGGGGTGCACGTGTCTCTTTCAGATCTGGTTTCCTCAGTGTGTATGCCCAGAAGTGGTATTGTTGGGTCATAAGGCAGTTCTATTTCCAGTTTTTTAAGAAATCTCCACACTGCTCTCCATAGTGGCTGTACTAGTTGGGAATAGCAATAATTTGATACAGGCCAACCTTGGAGATATTGCGGGTTCCATTCCTGACCATGGCATTAAAGCAAGTGTCGAAATAAAGTGAGTCACACGATATTTTTTTTGGCTCTAGTGCATCTAAAAATGGTGTTTACACTGTAGTCGTTTCAGCATGCAGCAGCATTAAGTCTACAAAAACCATGTACATACCTCATTTTTTAAATAGTGTATCACTAAAAAATGTTCACCATCATCTGAGTCTTCAGCAAGTCATAAACATTTCTTCTGGTGGAGGATTTGAAATACAGGGAGAATTACCAATATGTGACAGAGAGACCCACAGTGAGCAGATGATTTTGGAAAAATAGTGCCAGTAGACTTGCTCAAGGCCAGGTTGCCACAAACCTTCAGTTGGTGCAAAACGCAATACAGTATCTGGAAAGTGCAATAAAATGAGGTCTGCCTCACTCACCAAGACAGAACCCAGCATGGATTGAAGGTACACACAGAAACAAAAAGAAAAGCCTTCAGAGAGCATGGACATGTTTTTACATAGAGAAAAAGAAATGGAAATGGGGAAAAGAAATATTATTTACTGACTGTTTAGTAAGGTCATATCCATAGGGCCTTCTTAACATGATAGCACAACCAAGAAATGTCAGCTGGCCCCCAGTAGATAATAATAGTTGCCTAGTATTCTAGTGACAGGGTCCAGTCTCTCTATAGTTACCTTCACATACATATTTCTCTAGATTTATGTGTTCTGGGCATTTAGTCTTGTGTTATCAAAATTTCTTACCACTTGCCGCTATGTAAAACAGACTACTGTTAACAACTTTTCAACTTTTATAACAACTTATAAAATTAAGTTATACAATAGAATGGGCCTTTCGAAAATGTAAAATTTGAATGAAAAAAGGGTTTCAGTATCTTAATCCAATCTGTTGTCAGTGCTAGCTCTTGTAAGTTTATTTTTTTTTAACTTGTTCTATTTATTTGTTTACGTATGGCTGTGCTGGTTCTTCGTCGCTGAGCGCGGGCTTCCTCCACTTGTGGAGAGAGGGGCTACTCTTCGTTGCCCTGCTGACTTCTCTCGTGGCAGCTCCCGGGTTCTAGAGCACCGGCTCAGCACTGATGACTGGCCCTGCGGCATGTCCTGTCCTCCAGGGCCAAGGATCAAACCTGTGTCCCCTGCGCTGGCAGGCACATTCTCAACCACTGGACCACCAGGGAAGTCCTCTATCAACCCAGGATACAACTCTAACAAAGAACTATTTTTTCTTAAATGGACCAGTTTTGACATTCACTTTCTGGTGTCAGAGACCCAGATAATTCAAGGTTCACACAGTGCATAGATTTCGATCAGTCAGATTTCCCTGATATTTTGCTGAAGAAACTAGTGACATAAAGAAACGGTCATCTTGAAACAAAACCTTCCGTGGTCTAGTGTCTAGCATTCTGTTCTAGCGCCGACATATCATCTGTTTCCTTTTCTCAGAAATATTTAAAGATCTCATTAGAGCTTATACCTGCCTACTGGCATTGGCTGTAGATTTTTTTGCCTGAAAGATAGCTACCACTATTCAAAGATGATTCGGTTGCTGCTTTTGAAATACATCACAACACTCTTTGATGATAACTCCTTAATAGGAGCTATTCAAAACTATATGAGACACTAAAAACATAATTAAGATTCACCAGTGCCAGCTGAGACAGTGGAGAGCTTGTGAATAAAAAATAAGATTTCCAACTTCATTATTTCAGTGTAAATGATTGAGGTCTTAGAAATATTTTAGATCTCATAGCCATACTCCCTAAGAATGCTTTTGAGAAAAAGGATCCAATATGTGAGAGCAATCATGGGGAAAATATAATCCATAAAGTATTTTAAAATTGAAATTCTGAACACTTCAAAGATGATGCTCATATTTTAAGAAAAATAACCTTGTAAACTTTTCTGCTGTTTTGAACTGGCTCAGGGGATACATTTAGAAAAATAAAAGGGGAAATTACTTCCAAGATGCTGATAAAAACCGGTTCATGGAATATTAGAGCCAGAGGGATGTGTTCAGAGAGCATCTGGTAGCAAGGAGGAAACTGAGGTCTTCTTAGATCTTATCATCTCCTGAAGTGTTTCCAGTGCCCTGATGCCCTTGATTTATCCCATATTCATTTCTTGGTGTGTCTGTGGGAGTGCTGTCCTGTTCTGCTTGCAGGGATCTTCGTTCCCTGACCAGAATTGAACCCTGAGCGCCGAGTCCTAACCACTGGACCACCAGGGAATTCCCTCATATTCATTTCTAACAGCATTCTTTTTTTTTGGTTCTGAATACCTTGTCTTTTTAAAATTGAATTGCTTTACCATGTTGTGTTAGCTTCACACCCCCTCCTCCGAGGACCTCCTTCCAGCCCCAGCCCTCAGTCATCGCAGAGCTGAGCGCCCTGCGCCCTCCAGCAGCTCCCCACTAGCTCTCTATTTTACCCATCATGGGGCTGCCCGCCCCATTCGTCCAACATGACATTCCTCTTTAAGGATAGTAATGGGACTCCTGAATACAGTGCAATTATCTCTTTCCTAAGTGCCGACATGGAGGTGCTGGAGAGGGGAGATGTTATCCTAATGAGGAAATGAAGAATACTGCCCAGCCTAGTCACCCCATTCTCTTAAACAAGCAAGAAGTAAATCAGACCACTTTTGATTCAGCAGCTCCTGTACACAGCAGTCATGCTCCTTTACAAAATCTCATTAAATGATAACCTCCTGTAGAACCGAAGAGCTACAATAGCAGGTGTCTGCATGCTTCTGTTCCCCTCTAGTCTGTATTCTGCACCACAGTACAGCTGGGGAAGAAAACAGATAATTACCTCAGTTCAGCAAGATGTTTTGGCCCATGGTGAGTAAGTACTTGCTAGAAATAATTAATCTGAATGTTCCCTCCGAAGTTTGCAGAAAGAGCTACATTTTTTAAATTGAAGTTGTTTTTGTTTTTTTTTCCCTTTTGGGCTAAGACCTTATCTGAAAGAGAATTCTGTTTTCCTCTGGGAAGAGGAAGAATACAGCCTATTTATTTCTCCTAAACCTTTTGAAGTCAGAGATGAGGGAATATCTTTTGTTCTGTAGGCATGGTGCCTGCCCCTTAGTAGGAGCTCTACATTTTCATTGACTCAGAGAAGAAATGGTAATTAGAGAATGACTTAGCAAAATAAGTCTGATCATAGAATATGGGAAAAATAATTGAGAGTTAAAAGGCAAAAAGGAACTTTGATTATTGAAAAATCACTTTTAGTTATGTGTACAAAAATAAAAATTTCAAAACTGTTAGGATAGTTGTCTCTGATGTCAGGTAAAAAGGTCACCTTGCTCAGAAAGGAATCTGGCTCTAGTCATTATTTTGCTTCTAAACTAATCAAAGTTAAGATTTTAACCCAAAGGACACCCACCATGTACCATGTTCTTTTTATAGTCTATTTTTATTCATAATTTGTCAGTTTAAGACTTTCTTGAGTTGAGAGGAATATGAGTTTTATATATAAGGATAAGGTTATACTAAAAGGGATTGGTTAGCCAAATATGGTTCTGTTTTATTTTATTTTTTATTGGAGTACAGATGGTGTACAATATTGTGTTAGTTTCTGGTATACAGTAAAGTGAACCAGTTATAGGTATACTTATATCCCCTCTTCTTTTTAGACTCTTTTCCCATATCCGTTATTACAGATCATGGTGTCGAGCTCCCTGTGCTGTGGAGCCGGTTCTTATCAGCTATCTAGTTTATACGTAGTAGTGTATATGTCCGGCCCTTCTTCCAGTTTATCCCAGGCAGGTACCCTCTTCCAGTGGCCTTAAGTTACTAGCCCATTTCAGGAAAAGGTTGCCTTAATTGTACAAATTACAGTATTTCCTGAGGGTACTTTCATTTCTGCTGTCTTTGAATCTTCAGCGCTCTTTATATTTAGACACAGTTGCTCTCCCTTCACTCCTGATCCCTCCCTGAAGACATAGTTCCCATCAGGAACCGTCATCACACACCTCAGCAGATCAGCTTCGCTGGGGAACAGGGTGATATGCTTAATAAAATTTAGCCAATAAACAGTTGCAGTACTAAAATAGCATAGCAGGTAGAGAATCCCTGTGTGGGCAACTGGAGCCCAGTTAATGTCTATTACCTATGCAATGTTATATATATATTTTTTTAATTTATTTATTTATTTATTTATTTATTTTTTATCACAACCATAGTGTATCTTTTTTTTTTTTTTTTACATGTATTCCCCATCCCGGTCCCCCCTCCCAATGTTTTATTAATCATTAATACTGGAGTGGGTAGCCTATCCCTTCTCCAGCGGATCTTCCTGACCCAGGAATCGAACTGGGGTCTCGCATTGCAGGTGGATTCTTTACCAACTGAGCTGTGAGGGAAGCCCGAATCATTAATTTAGAAATTGCTAATCTAAATGCTAGTCAAATTAGCCAACATAGACTATTGATTTTTTTAACTAAGTGGAAAACCTAGAAACAAAAGTATGTCCTTTGGAGGATAGCTCTGTTGTTCTATGGGCTTCTCTGGTGGCTCAGTGGTAAAGAATCTGCCTGCAATGTGGGATATGCAACTTCAATCCCTGGGTTGGGAGGATCCCCTGGAGTAGGACATGGCAACCCACTCCAGTATTCTTGCTTGGAGAATCCCATGGACAGAGGAGCCTGGAGGGCAACAATCCATTGGGTCGCAAAGAGCCGGACACAACTGAGTGACTAACACTATTGTTCTCCTTCCTTTTTCCTGCTAATCCCTTTGGGCTCCTTTCTTCCCTTTTCATTGATTTTTCTTAATTTCAATTTTATTTTTAAACTTATCTTTCATGTGTAATTAAAATATTCCTACTATTGAGTGGTAAAAAAGCTACGAAAAACACAAAAGTCAAAAGATACAGATGAGTAAAATAACATTTGGATTTCCAAGTGCAGTGGTAAAGAATCTGCCAGCCAGTGCAGGAGACACAAGAGACGCAGTTTCCATCCCTGGGTTGAGAAGACCCCCTGGAGGAGGAAATGGCAACCTGCTCCAGTATTCTTGCCTGGAAAATTCCATGGACAGAGGAGTCTGGTGGGCTACTATCCATGGGTAAACAGAGAGTCAGACAGGACTGGGCTACTGAGCACACAAAATAACATTTACTAAATTGATTTGCACAGGGATACTTAAAGAATGTTATTTGTGCTGTAATTTGTAGTAGGAAAATATAGCAAACAACATACATATCTGTTGGTGTGGTATTAGCATAGAGAGTTACGCAACTTTTCATACTCAATACCTATATAAGAACAAATGCTATGCTGTGCTGTGCTCAGTCGTGTCCGAGTCTTTACAACCCTTTGGACTGTACTCTGCTAGGCTCCTCTGTCCATGGGATTCTCCAGGCAAGAATACTGGAGTGGATTGCCATTCCCTTTTCCTGGGGATCTTCCTAACTCAAGGATCAAACCCTCATCTCCTATGTCTCCTGCATTTCAGGGGGATTCTTTTGATCTCAATATATAAAAAGAAACAAAAGCTAGCTATATAGCAGTCTGTATAACATACTAATTTGTGTAATTGAAAAAGTCCATCCATGCACACACTCACATGTACAAATATGCTTTTATTTATGTGAAGTATCTCAAGATTAAACAAGAAGCTAAGAGCATAGTGCCTCTGATATGGGTTACTTGGTGCTGGGAGACTGGGATGGGAAGATAATTTTCACTATACATTTTTTGTACCTTTGTTACTAAGCTATTTAAGTGGATTACCTATCAAAAAAATTTAAGCAATTTGTATTCCCCTGATATTCAAATTGTTTACTCATATGGTTTCATCATTGGGAGTTATTGGTCTTTTTCATACTGACTCTGAAGAAGATTCTGTTGATTAAGAAAATTACTTTTTTTTCTATCAGATATGTTGCACTTAGTTTTACCTAGTTTGATTTTGGTTTTTTACTTCCCTTATATTTATGTCTAGATTTTTGCCTTGTAGAACCTTTTAAATTTTATGCACTCAAACATACCAAGTGCAGTCAATCTTCATTACTCACAGACTCAGGATTTGCATGCTCATCTATTTGCTAACATTTATTTGTAATGCCAGGGCCTGTACTGACAGTGCATGAATGTCTTTAGACAGAAATACACATGAAACAAGATTAGGTGTTGATCATTTGACAAAAATATTGTGACCACAGGCTCATAGGAACCTAATCCTGTATTTCCCCTTGGGGCGCCAATTCAGTGTTCACTAATTCTGGGTTCACAGGAGCTTTATAGAATCTGACTGCTGTGGATAATGACAATTAATTGTATTTTACTTTATGGTTTCTGACTTGTGTCATACATGGAGAGGCCTTTAGCTTTTGAGAATATTTAAAAAAAAATAGTCATCATCCAGCCCTTTAATCACTTTCTTTTCTTATATTTAAATCTTTGCTCCATTTGGAATTTTTAATGTAAGGTATAATCAGGCTTCCCTGGTAGCTCAGACGGTGAAGAATCTGCCAGCAATGTAGGAGACCCAGGTTCAATCCCTATGTTGGGAAGAAAGGAATGGCTATCCACTCCAATATTCTTGCCTAGAGAATTCCATGGACAAAAGAGCCTTGTGGGCTGCTGTCCATGGGATCACAAAAAGTCAGACACGACTGAACAACTAACGCTCACTTTTTTTCATGAAAAGGTAGCATATATATTCTGTTGTCTCCAAACCTTTTGATCCCAATTGATTTAAGATCCTGGTACTTTGCTTATATTATGAGTGATAAGAGTTCCAAACCCACCTCATCTTCTGAAACCAGTTTTTGTTTTTTTTAAGTTAACACTATAGAGATATTTTTAGAGATTCTCCACTTCTACACGACATGTACCCCTTCCCCAAATTCTACCCTGCTCGAACCATCTTTAATAAGCCAAAGCCCTGGGCACATCTATTTCTCTTACCAGCATTTTGACTGAATGTCAGATTAGACAGAACTTGTGACTCCATACTTATAATTCCTATAGGTCCTGTGTACATGCAGTTGCTAGAGAGCAGATTCAGGTGGGAATGCTTCCAGTGAAATCATACCTTGTCTTAAAACTTAATCTGAGATCTCCTGGGCTGTGGTTACCACTTCTGGATTCCAGAACATACTGAGCCAAAACCTCCCAGGAAATCAGGGATTATGAAGACATGATCTAATTTATGTTCTAATAATAAAACACCGACAGAATAGTTAAGGGAAAGGATTCATGAGATTCATAAGAGGTGATAGGGCTTCTTGTGAGTGTATGTTAGTCGCTCAGTCATGTCCAACTCTCTGCGACCCCGTGGACTGCAGCCCTCCAGGCTCCTCTGTCCATGGGATTTCCCAGGCAAGGCTACTGGAGTGGGTAGCCATGCCCTTCTCCAGGGGATCTTCCTGACCCAGGGATCAAACAGATTCTTAACTGTCTGAGCCACCAAGGATCTCAGATAGAACCTCTACTATATACACAATTCTGGCTCTTCTGTAGAAGGCACGAGAGCCCCTCAAGGTGAGCCAGCTAAACACTGTACTCACAAATGTGAATGAATCTACATTTATTAAAAGGGTCAGTTTCACAAGCGGCCATTTCAGTCCTGGCAGATTCAGCGAAGGTCAGGTTGATTTTGTGAAAGGATATGCACAAAGGCTCTGAGAAGACCACCTCTGTCTAAATGTAGATTTGGGGAACTTTTCTACTTTCTCGTGTGACCTCATGAATTTCTGCTATAAAGTGAACATTCTAGGTGCTGACATGCCAAGGACACGGTTTCAGACTTCCGGTTAGAACAGGATGAAAAATGAATCTGAAAAGGAAAGGCATGATGGAGTATATACACATCAGACTGCGTGGCCCCCCGGTTACCTATGTCAGCGATGAGGCTGCCTGGCTTCTGCTCCTGGAGGAACTGGCGGACGCGGGGCCAGGCTTTGCTCTGCAGGTCGCTGAAGTAGGGCGCGGTGCTCTCGTACACATCATGCACATGCTGCTTCTCCAGCTGGGCGGCTGCATGGTCCATCCTGGGGAGAGCGGGGCCATGCCAAGGGATGCGGTTCAGAGCGGGCACCGGAAATGGCTGATGGAGATGCAGGTTTCCTAAACTGGGAGCTTACGACTGCCACGGCTGTCCTGTTTTTATCCCTTCTTTCTTTTTCTCTCTTTTTTTAAAAAAATTATTTCCTTTTTAATAGAAGGATAACTGCTTGACAGAATTGTGTTGGTTTCTGCCAAACATCAACATGAATCAATCAGAGGTATACATATGTCCCCTCCCTCTCTTACAAAGTGCAAAGAACACAGCCTTCACCAGAACCTCACCAGCGTTGTCGAAAGACTAGCAGACGTGTCGCTGTTAGCTGCACATCTTCAGAAAACAGTCATTTGTGAATGAGCTAACTGTAATGTGTTTCTGTGCAAGATGAGTCCTTAATTTTGGAAACATATACAAAGGCCTTAGCAGTGGTTCACTTTGGATAAAGCTCTCTTCTCTTTGATGCTAAAAAGATTAAAATTTTATAACATGCATTTCACAACTCCAGTCCAATCACAAAGCCCGATTGATTCTACCTTTTGAATGTCTTTGGATTCTAACCATTTTCTTTACATCCTACTGACTCTGTTTTAGAAAAGACCTCATTTCTTGTTTCAGCTACTTCAACCACCTGTAAATGGGTTTTTTTTTGTCCCTTCAGTCTCTTTCCTTCAGTTATGCCACAACTGTTTTTCTAAAAACATAAAACTGTGCCGCTCCCTATCTTAGACTTCTTCAAAGGCATTTTAAGGCTTGTCTGCTCAAGGCCGGGTGTCTCAGGAGGGTGTCCATGGCTCTTCTGATCTGGCCTTCACTTACCTCTTGCAGTGATTTCTCACCTTCCTTCCCCAGCATCGGGGCACGTGTCATACTTAGTGACCGAGGTTGCTCAGACTTGGTGCATCCTCTCTCATCCAGGGGCTGGTGCAGACTCTGCGCCTTACCTGGCTGACTTCTATTCATTCTTGGCCCACGCATCACCTCTTCCAGGACTGCTCTGACCCCCCATGCAGGATGAGGGCAGTCAGAGAGCAGTGGGGAGGACTTCCCTGATGGCGCAGTGGATAAGACTCCACCTGCCAGTGTGGGGGACACAGGTTTGGTCCCTGGTCCGGGAAGATCCCACATGCCGTGGAGCAGCTAAGCCCATGTGCCGGTACAACTACTGAAGCCCGCACACCCTAGAGCCCAAACTCTGCCACATGAGAAGCCCTTGCACCGCAGCTAGAAAGTAGCCCCCACTCGCCAAAACTAGAGAAAGCCCACAGGCAGCAGTGAAGACCCAGCGCAGCCAAAAACTTAACAGAAAAAATTTTTTTAATAAAAAGGAGTGGGGAAAGTAGAAGAGCAGGTCTTCGAGGCTTCTGTTCATTTAGGGTTTGGTCTTTTAATTATTCTCCTGTGGCATTGAGTGAGGATATCCCAGGGCAGTGGCCAGTATCAGTATTAAAGTGTTTTTATCACTGAAGAACCCACTTGGCCCTACTGCTGCTTACCAGCTGGCTCAGTCCCGCCCCTTGTCCTCCTCTTGCGTCTCGTGCCTCCTCTGTGGTTACTGAGGGCTGTAAGTCTATTAGCTGTTTTTTCTGTAGCCCTGACTAGAAGAGACTAAGTAACAGGGGCTTATCTTATTTAATTCGGAGTCCCTAGTAGTTGGCACACAGCAGACCTTCAATAAATGAACAAAGAAAGAAAGAACCAGAGTGGACTCTGAGCACAGAGGGTAAGAGAATAACCTGGGGAGTGTGGGGAGAGGGGACCCTGCACCCACAAGCTTGCAGATGGGAATGTGGTAACAGAAGGGGCTGTCCTTGGACAGCCTCTGTATTCCCTCACCCCCCACCCCCTGGTCTTTGTCACTCTGGGGAGTAGAAGGCACTTGGGCCAGATGGCATCTGAGGAGTTACCCCACTGTAAAGTGCCTACCTTCCACCTTATATTTAAGAAATATCTTGATGAGAGATACTTAAAGACCATGCAAATATTCTGTTTCCATGATCTCGCTCGCCATTTTTTAAATTTTAATTTTTTTGGCCACCGTACGTGACATGTAGGATCTTAATTCCCGACCAGGGATCAAACCCACTCCCCCTGAAGCATGAACTTGGAGTCTTCACCATTGGACCACTAGGGAAGTCCCCACTCACCGCCTTCAGCGTCCAATCCATTGATGACTTTTTCTAACTGAAGTATAGTTGATATACAATATTAGTTTCAAGTTTATAACATAGTGATTCAGTATTTTTATTGATTATACTTTTAAAGTTATTATGAAATAATGACTATTTCCCTGTGCTATACAGTGTAACCTTGTCGCTTATCTGATTTATAAACAGTAGTTTGTATCTCTTAATTCCATAACCCTACCTTGCCCCTCCCCTTTTCCTCCTGTCAATCACTTTGTTGTTTAGTTGCTTCAGTCTTGTCCGACCCTTGTGACCCCATGCACTGCAGCCCACCAGGCCTCCCTGTCCATCAGATTCTCCAGGCAAGAATACTGGAGTGGGTTAACCACTAGTTTGTTCTTTATATCTGTGAGTCTGTTTTTTGTGTGTGTGTGTTTTGTTATGTACATTTGTTTGTTTAATTTTTTAGATTCCACATGTAAGTGAAATCGTACGGTATTTTTCTTTGTCTGACTTATTTCACTAAGCATAATACTCTCATTGAGTATTGTAAGCATAATATCCACGTTGTTGCAAATGGCAGGCTTTCACTCTATTTTGTGAATGATGATATGATGACATTCTCAAATGATGAGAATGATGATATACTCATTCCATCATTCCTTCCACTGCAAGGAAGAGCTTTTCAGGATTTACTCTTAAAACAATTTAGCAGTAGGTTATCCTTAATTGGGCTTCCCTGATAGCTCAGTTGGTAAAGAATCCGCCTGCAGTGCAGGAGACCTTGGTTCAATTCCCGGGTTGGGAAGATCCCCACTCCAGCATTCTTGGGCTTTCCTGATGACTCAGCTGGTAAAGAATCCGCTTGCATTTCGGGAGACCTGGGTTCGATCCCTGGTTTGGGAAGATTCCCTGGAGAAAGGAATGGCTACCCACTCCAGTATTCTGGCTTGGAGAATTCCATGGACTGGATAGTCCATGGGGTCGCATAGAGTCAGACACAACTTGGCAACTTTTACTTTTCACTTTATCCTTAACTATTATGGGCCTGCCCACAGTCCCTGCAAAAAAATCTGGCAACTCTTAACAGAGTACAAATCTCATTTGTGATGTCTGACAAAACTTCCACCCAAACTGAAGCAGCTTATATTACACCCTCAACTAGAATACAAAGTAAACATATGGCTGCCTATAACTGCCTACACATGAGGAAAAACCCAAACACTGAATGCTTTTCTCTGTAATCAAAATCTCAGTAGACTTAGGTCTGTTTAAAATCGTCCCCCCTTAAGGAATCAATTAGGCAGTACAGTCTTGAGAACTGTAGAACAAATACATTTTACTTCATTGCATTTGCCAGTGTTAAGGGATTCCCAAGTGTCTCAGTGGTAAAGAATTAGCCTGCAAATGTAGGAGATCCAGGTTCAATCCCTGGGTCAGGAAGATTCCCCTGGAGAAGGAAATGGCAACTCATTCCAGTATTCTTGCCTGGAGAATTCCATGCACAGAGGAATGTGGTGGGCTACAGTCCAGGAAGTCACAAAGAATCAGGCACGACTTAGCAACTGAGCACGCACACACCAATCAAGTGACAATAATCATGAGCTTGATCCTGTTCAATCTGCCTCCATCTGCAAGCTCAGAATCTGTAGTATTTGAAGAGCACCACATGAAGACCTTTCTCTAATTCTTCCCCAACGTTGCCCAGCTTCTACCATAAACAAGTAACTTCAAAGAGCTGTTTGAAAGTATGTGAACAATATAAATCCATTTTGTTGTATTTTACACTTAATATTATATTCTGCAGAATATGTAGCTAACTGTGAAATTGATTTGCAGAGCTGGGGCCATCCAATTTGACATTCTTGACACTCTGTGGATTTATATTTCCTGCTGTGTGTGTGTGTTTGCATGCTAAGTTGCTGCAGTCATGTCTGACTCTTTGTGACCCTCTGGCCTGGAGCCCACCAGGCTCCTCTGTCCATAGGATTCTCCAGGCAAGAATACCGGAGGGGTTGCCAAAGCCTTCTCCAGGGATCTTCCCGACCCAGGGGTGGAACCTGCTTCTCTTAAGTCTCACCTGCATTGGCAGGTGGGTTCTTTACCATTAATGCAACCTGGGAAGCCCTTCCTGCACTGTACACTTATGCAGATTCCTTGTGAATTTGGTCCTATGACTAAGCTAGTAAGACCAGTACTACAGCACTTAGCGCAGGGTTCCAGCAGAAGCTAGGGATGTGGGGTTTGCTTTAGCCAGGCTCCTAATCTGTGTGCTGACAAATTTGAAAGGGAAAATAAGTCACAGAAAGTGATGCCCTGCGCATCTGAGAACTAGTTTGGATTTTAAGTGCAGTGGAAAGTGGTTCCCTAGAGAGCAGAAAAGGGGAGAGAAAGTGCTAGGAAGCTACTTGGAGGGGTCAGTGGCTTGGTGTGTTTCCCGTGGAGAGAGGACCAAACAAAGAAACATCAGTGCTTCTTGCTTCTAGCCACAGGGTGGTCAGTAATAGGTCACAGATGTTTGGTTTTCCTGTTTGGGGCGTGTAACTAGTTTAACACTTCTCCACCCAGCCTGATTCAGGCAAAGCCACGGGATATGCTTTGACCATTACACGTGATCAGAAAAGATCTGGGCAGAGGAAAACTTCTGGGCAGAAGTTTTACCAGCCAGAGTGTGTGTCTTCGATCCTGGAAGCACCAGCCCAGGTCTCCAAGTGACTGCTCTTGATGGGTGGGCAGTATGCATGTTTTTAGCCAGAAATCGGGCAATATACAGCTCATCATAAGAGATGTGGATTATCTACCTAGATAATGGAAAAGTAAAATCTATCAGCCATGTTCTGTTAGAAGATCACTTGTTACTATGTGAGTTTGTCCTGTTTTTTCCTTCATAAACATTAACACTTTTCTCATTACTGTAGATAGAACTAAACTGGCAGAAAACTGAATATAATTCTGTCTCCCACTTCTTAAAATTAATACTGTGAGCCAAGGAAGGAAAGGAGAGAGGCAGGGAGAAAGGATGCTAATATCTGTGAACCTGAGAACACAAAGGCATCAAGGTGTTGCTGAAAGCACTTTCTGTCAACATGTGTGTGTGTGTGCTGAACAGTAACATGTTTGAAAAGAGGATCTGTCAATGGTAGTAGTGAAAAAACATTTGGAGATCTAAGATTCTAGGGAATATGTAACCTGTCCCCAAGCCTGAGCCTGTGCATTTATGACCATTATTTACAGGCCTAGACATTTTAGAAATGAAATACTTCTAAAAACCTGTGCTTATCTGCTCTTCCTTTGAGGAACTGTACCTCCCTTTGGACTCCAAGTGATGTTGGAGCCTGCCAGTCATGTAGGACGGGGTGGACACATGACCTCATTTAAGAAAATCATTCCCTCTCCCCTGGGAAACTGACAAGAGATAGTTGAAGCCAAATCACTAGAGGAAATATCCTCCAGTTTCTTCTAAGTCTTACCTTTCCTGAGGTTTGTTTTGGTTTTTGTTTTTCCTATTCTATCAGCTTACTTGGTATACTCCCAACAGATCCCCTCTTGCTTGAGGAAGTTTGTTTTGCAGGCGAAGGACTTTAGTTATTTCAGACTTGAATGCATCTTCATGATCACAGCATGGACCTGAGGGGGTTCCACGATGGAAGAGAGGTGCTGCACCATCCAGAGTCCCAGCAAGAGTTGGCTCCCACAGATGGAAGGACTCTAGTTGGAGTCCTGGCAACAGACCACTGGGATGCAGTGTCCTGTTGGAACCAGTGCCAGCCTAAGAGCAGAGCAGATTGTTGTACTGCCTCTATCTTTGCTACTGCTACATCTTTTTTTTTTTTATGGCCACAGCCTAGTATCTGAGTTGTTATTACAGCTTCCTAGTCGGTCTCTTTGTCCCCCTTGTCTCCCTCCCACTCCCCCGACTTGTCACCTCTAATACATCCATAATGCGGGGAGGTTGCAGTACTCTTTTTTCAGTTAACATTCACTTGCTGGAGACATATCCTATAGTAAAAGGCAACTGCAAAGACCACACTGCATGATGCTGTTCTTGGCTTGATGGATGTAGCTTGTAATCTCCCTCCAAGAACTCAAGAAAAGCAGTTTAGAATCTCTATTTTCATGCTGGTACTGGATAATTTTCCACTAATATCCATTTGATCATCTCCTCTCCCTGTTGAAAACCCTTCAGGAGACGTCTCTGGGACAAAGCTTGCACTCTTCCATCCAGCCTTCAGAAGCTTCCAGGACTTGGCCTCAGTCTGGCTTTCCAGCCATATCCTCTTACTGTGACAGCTCAAATTCTCAGCTCCACCCAAAGAACTCTACTCACGTTTCCCTGAGTGGGCCTTGTTTATAGCTCCTCATTCAGGTCTTTGCTAAAGTCAGCAGGCTCTTCTTTCTTATCTGTAGTGCTTCCCTTCTGAAATCTTACCTGCCCTTCAAAGTCTAGCTCAGCCTCCCCCTTCTCTATAAAGACTTTATGGATAGCTATCAATAACAATCATTTCCCCTAGTATTTCTATATATTGCATACTTATTATTGCTGCCACTCTTTGGGCATTTCTCCTGATTCTATCTTGAATTTTCAACTCTGTGTATGTGCCCAGCTCAATTAGAAGCTCCTGGAGGGCAGAACTGAAACCAGACTTGTCTTTTATATGTATTATAATGCTTTCACTCCGTAGTTAACTGTAGAACCAATGGATCAGTGAGCTCCATTTACTTAGCTCCCTATGCAAGACAACAGTGCTTTACTCCAGATAAACTGGTCCTCAAATATTTGGTCATAAATCACGAATCCCCTGATAATAGTCAAGAGGCTCTCAGAGGCTCCCAAGGCTAAAACTGAGCCTTCCCAGTCATGTTTTGTGTTTCATAATTTCCTTCCCTTGCAGAGGCCTGTTCAGAGATATACCCTAGACACAAAACAGTCCCAGTTTTATAATTGAAAATAAATATAAATACTGTAAATTATTCTCTTATTATAAATGCCACAGAAGACATATTTTAAAAAGATCATAGAGCTGCTTTAAATTTCAAAGATATATTCAAACTGTAACTCTAAAGTTTACATACTAAATGGTCAAGTCAGGTCAAAGACTTTACTTACATTATAAAAAGACTTTAGCATGATATAACTAAGTTTATTTAATCTTTTACAAAAACATTTAATGCATGATACTTATACCTACATATTATTTTCAAATACAAATTTACTGCAACCTTTTGTATGATAAAAAACCTATCATTTCACAATATGCTGACGTCCTAGAAACACATTTTGTTCTCTAATAAAACACTGAATACATTTTTGTTATTTTAAAACTAGTTTCAAATTCTTTTTTCCACCTAGTGCAAAAATAAACTCCAGCTTACTTTGTATTACAGTGTCGTAACTTTTAAATGATAGGAATTGGGCCTAATTAGGTTTACTGAATATGCTCATATTATGTGAATTGCTGTAATAACTGAAAGCTACTAACCTGAGTCATCTTGTGATTACAGAAAATTACTTCTTGTCTTTTTGATTCATGGCAGTTTCCACCCTCAGAGAGTGACAGTTGTTGCTCATAATTTTCTCGGTGTGTAATGTAAACGCAGTTTAGTGGGAGGAGAATCAAACAGCTAGGTCCTTTCCCATGGTGAGCCACGCTGTGTGAGTCTTCGCAGGGAATACAGGCTCTATTAGGAAAAGAACAAATACTAAAGTTCATTTTACATAATACAACTATTGAACCAGCTACAGCCCACGCTGACCTCTTGACATATGCCTGAATTACCCAGAGAAGACAGGATTAGAACGAACTGTTAATTTATGGAATGTGCCAGAACTATAAGAGCAGCTTCTGAATCAATCCCTCAGCTTTCTGTAAAACACCCAAATACTTTCTCCCCAAATTAAATAGGATGATTTCATCTTGTTCCTCAAAAAATTACAAGTACTGAGAGTCAACTTTGAATCCAGTGGTTTAAGTACTGTAACTTTTTAAGACATATGACTAAATGTTAATTAATTAAGTCATTCCAGTACAATTTAACTGTTCAGTATTTGTTCTTATTATCAGCTATTTCCATGTCACTTTGACAAGTAACCCTAGTTATTCTTCACTGTTCACATTTATTTTTTTTTCTTTTTACATAATAGAACAGGTTTGTCTTGAAATTCATCAAAAGACTCTGAATTACATTAAAAAGAGGACATATGCAGAAAAACACTCTGTAATGGGGAGGTCTTGGGGTGTAAAGTGAGGTCTGGAGAGATGCCCGGTGCAGTAGGAAAAGCCCGTCGTGTAACATCTGGGGGCCTGATGCATCTGTAAATGAGGCAGATGGACTTTCATCTTGATCACTTTCTCAGTCACTTCCCTCGGTCTTCACGTCCTTTGCGTATGCACCTCAGCACCACAAACTGTGCCCCTTTATTACACACAGTGATTCTCAGGATGGTGGGGTGGGATGTACGTGGCTTCCCTGAACTGGCTGGGGCTCTCCACCCACCCGTCTGGATCCTGTTTAAGAAGCATTGATCTGTGTGTGTGCTTTGCAAAACTTCTTGCTGGTCTTCAGAGTATGCACATAACCCATCGTCTCTCAGTCACATGCAGGCATACGATCTGTACCTCAGAGAGCCACGAAGGTGGGCATTTTAAGAAGAACACTTAGAAAGAGTCTTGAAAGAGTTACTAGTCAAAAGATTTCATCTTTGGCAATTTTGGGCCTGCCTTAATCATAAAGGAGAGGATGTTTTGTGTGTATGTGTATGTGTCTGTCACATATTCTTTAATTAATTTATTTTTAATTAGGGGATAACTGCTTTAAATTCTGTGTTAGTCTCTGCTGTACATCTGCATGAATCTGCCATATGTATACATTCATATGTCCCCTCCCTCTTAAACCTCCCTCCCACCCCATCCCACCCCTCTCGGTTGTCACGGAGGAGCAGGCTTGAGCTCCCTGCATCATACAGTGGATTCCCACTGGCTGTCTGTTTTACATATGGTAATGTATATGCTTCTGTGCGATTCTATCAGTTCGTCCCACCCTTTTCTTCCCCCACTGTATCCACGTCTGTTCTCTATGTCTGCTCTCTACTGCTGCTCTGCACATAGGTTCATCAGTACCACCTTTCTAGATTCCATATATATGCGTTAATATATGATATTTGTGTCTCTCTTTCTGACTTACTTCACTTTGTATCATAGGCTCTAGGTTCGTCCACCTCATTAGCACTGACTCAAACACATTCCTTTTTATGGCTGAGTAATATTCCATAGTATATATGTACCACATTTTATGTATTCCATTCATCTGTCAGTGGACATCTGGTTGCTCCCATGTCCTAGAGACTGTAAATAGTGCTGTAATGAACATTGGTGTACATGTGTCTTTTTCAATTACGATTTTCTCAGGGTATATGCCTAGTAGTGAGATTGTTGGGTCACATGGCAGTTTTATTCCTAATGTTTTAAGGAATAGGAGGTGATGTTGTCTGAAACTCCATGCTAGTGGCAAAGCCTAAAGCTTGTCACCTTGGGTTCATCCTTCCTGCCCTGACCTAGGGGCTGCTCTGCCCCCAGCTAGCCTGACTGTCTAAGCACCTTGCCTTCAGGTATTAGTGTCAAAATGCATTCACCCTCTCAGATAGGCACTGAGGACAGGCTGTTCTGGGTCTTAGTCAGAAAGTGTAGCAAATGAAAAGAATTTCAGATAGTGCAGCGGGTATGTGTGAGCTACTGGGGTGAAAAAGAAAACAGGGGTGGGGAACTTCTCTATTCACCCAAATCATATTCCTCAAACACCTATAAAGATAATTGACTTTCCATAAGTTTACTAAATTATGATCCAAACTTGGCTCTGTTAAAAATGAATCATTTTATCTTTTCCAAGGAGTTTCTGGGCAAAGACAAAATAGGGTAGTATGTTTCTTTTAATAAGTTAAATTGGATCAGTCCTTTCATTTTATCAGCCACACATCTTTGGAGTATCTAGTATTAAAAATGCATTTCTTCTCCTTTTTTCCCTGAATAAATGGGAAACCATCTTCGAGAACAAAGGTGACTCAAACCTTACAAAATTTTGAGGTTAACCATGTGTGTGTATTTTCCTTGGAAGAGACTCAGCACCTCAAACTATGTCTCAGGGGAGAAATTAGTTTTTTGAAAAAAAAGTAATTTATGTATTAACTTAAAAAGATACATTCATTCATTCAACAAATACTAATTGAACTTCTGTTATATAAAAGGTGCTAGGGATAAAGATTTTTTAAGTCTCCCAATTTTGGAATCCAAAGTTTAATATAGGAAGCATACAAAGAAATAGAAAATTAAAATATGGTACTACTTTCACTTTTGGTATGGATACATCCTGAGAGCTTCTACTTCTGAATCCCTAAACTAATTACACCTTGCCTGTGCTATCGATCGACAGGTCAATCAGTTGATTGATAAATTAATAGATAAAACAGACCTATTACAGATTACTACATCATGGATCTTTGGGCTATCATCAAGTATTTAAAAACCACAGATGCCCAGAGCCCACTCCTGGTGTGAGGAATGCTATGACCCAGGTGCGCACGGGTTCTGTAGGAACTGTAGGTGAGGCAGCTCATTCAGTCTGTACAGGGGAGGGGCTGAAGGCTCCCTTGAGAGGCTGACAGCTCAGAAGATGGTAGGGGTGAGTCAGGAAAAATGGGAATGGGCGATTCTAGCTATCAGAAACATCGTAGAGGAAAAAGAAATGAGAATCTTCGATGAACTTCAAGTAACTTAACAATAATAGCGAGACATGCACACACACAATGTGTATTAATGGTTTACTGTTATTGAGGCCCTGTTACAAGCATTTAACTCATTGAATTGACACAGTAAGTAAATGAACCGGAACCACCATGTCCCCATTTTACAGATAAGGAAGCAGAGGCACAGAGAACACAGATGAGTTTCCAGGGTTATGTAGTAAGTGGCAGAGATGGGATTTCAGGCCAGAAAGTTAGATTCCCGACTTCACACTCTTAACTGTACGTCAGTGGGGAGGCAGGAAGGGAGAACGGGTGATACTATAAGAACCTGGAAGAGTCAGACCACATAGGACCTAGTTTAACTTTCTAAGGAGTTTAGATCTTTATCCTGAACAACAATTATGTCAGTGAGAGAAAAGAAAAATTTGGATTTGGTTTCCAGAAATCCACAGCAAGAGTGTAGACTAGTATTTCCTGGACAGGTTCACAGAGAAAGAACCTAGTAAAATCCTGTAGACAGAAAATGGTATTAAGGATGCTTAGGAGGGGGTGGGATACAGGAGATATTAAGGAGAGAACATCACATTAGTAGGACTTGCTAACTGATGAACCGTCTAGTCAAGGCTATGGTTTTTCCAGTAGTCATGTATGGATGTGAGAGTTGGACCATAAAGAAGGCTGAGCATCGAAGAATCGATGCTTCCAAACTGTGGTGCTGAAGAAGACTCTTGGGAGCCCCTTGGACGGCAACAAGATCAAACCAGTCAGTCTGGAAGGAAACCAGCCCTGAATATTCATTGGAAGGACTGATGCTGAAGCTGAAACTCTTAATACTTTGGCCACCTGATGTGAAGAGCTGACTCATTGGAAAAGATGCTGGGAAAGATTAAAGGCAGGAGAGAAGGGAACGACAGAGGGTGAGATGGTTGAATGGCATCAACAACTCAATGGATACAAGTTTGAGAAAACTCCAGTAGACAGTGAAGGACAGGAAAGCCTGGTGTGCTGCAGTCCATTGGGTCGCAAAGAGCCAGACACGACTGAGAGACTGAATGACAACACATGCACATTAGCAGTAAAGAGGTTAGCCATGTGCTATTAGAGTTCTACTGTGATAATTTTAATCCCGGAAATACCGACTGAGCAAGTACTAGGCAACAGTTGCTTTGGTAGTTCTGAGAACTGGGATGGGCGGCACTTGCTCTCAAGAAGCTACAAGCACATGCGAGCATGACCCAGAGCGAAGCTGGGTGACCACAGTGAGGGCACACACATGACTGATTGACAGCAGGGCACAGGTAGCAGGTGGCCTCAGCTTTTAGAATTCGTGGCGATCCTGTAACGACGAGTATGACTCCCTCCAAGTAAGAGGCAAGCACACCAGCTGCCTCATTAGTGCTCCCCATGTTACACAGGGGCTTCCCCTGTAGCTCAGTCCGTAAAGAATCTGCCTGCAATGCAGGAGACCCGGGTTCCATCCCTGGGTCGGGAAGATCCTCTGGAGAAGGCAATGGCACCCCACTCCAGGATTCTTGCCTGGAGAATCCCATGGACAGAGGAGCCTGGCGGGCTGCAATCCATGTGGTTGCAAGAGTCAGGTATGACTTAGCGACTAAAGAGAGAGAGAGAGAGATGCTACACAGAACCTCTTAACAATACACCAGAGGTTATGGCAGAAATGGTAGGAACAAAGGTAACTGGCGTTTCTGGTTGAAATCCTATGAGCAGAACAAATTGAGGGCTTTAAAACAATAACATAAATAACCCAGGGAGAATAGGAGCCTCTCTGCAATCCCAACAGGGACTGAAAGGTTACCCTGGAGGAAATATAT